GGGGCTGGAGAAATGCCTCAGCAGTTAAGAGCACTTGCTGCTCTCCACTGCAGGACTGAACGTCTGAGCATCAGAAGTTACAATAGGCTTAGGTGTTTCTGCAGCATTGCCTATGATGTACTCTGCACCTTCCCTGCAGTCTTGTTTCTGAGCAACGTGAAACTCCATTGCTGTTACTCCAAGGAACACCAGTGAGCACTGGCCAAAACACCCGAGCTCTGAATGGAGACTGTTGTGTGTTAAGACACAGTGTTTTTACTACACATACAGTTTCCTGCTCTTCTTATAGAAAACGAAGACTTGTTTTTTGTTTTTGTTGTTGTTGTTTGAAAAAGGGTTTCTGTGTGAAACCGTCTTTGGCTGTCCTGGAACTCACTGTGTAGACCAGGCTGGCCTCTAACTCATAGATCCACCTGCCTCTGCCTCCCAAGTGCTGGGACTAAAGGCATGCGCCACCATTGCCGAGCAGAAAACGAAGACTTTTATAGTATTTTCTTACATCATTCCTCAACAAACAAGCTTCATACTAGTGTATCTTTACTTTGTTTTGTTTTGAGACAGGGTCTCACTATTTAGCTCTGGCTGTCCTGGAACTCAGTATGTAGACGAGGGTGGCCTAAAAATCCACCTGCCTCTTCAGACTAGTTTATTTTGTGTTACAATGTTTTTTATTGATTGATTTAAGTTATGGGTTTCTGTAGGTCAGACTGACTTTGAATTCCCTATGTAGTCAAAGCTGTTATTAAATTCCTTATTCTCTTGTCTTTACCTCTAGGAAACTGAGATTATAGACAGGGACCACCAAATCCTGTCTAGAATTGTCTGTCTATCTGTATGTTTTTATTGAGATAGGGTCTCAATATGTAGCTTTGATTGATAAACATTTGTTTTGTTTGCTTATGTCATTTGGATCAAAATTGTTAAGGGGACCTTGCAGAGGACTTACGTTCATTTGCCAGCACCCACATGACATCTGTACCTCCAGTTTCAGAGTGGCCTCCATGAGCACCAGGTGCATACTCCGTGCATGTAAATATATACAGGCACTCACACACGTATATAAAGTAAATCTTTTTTTGTTTGTTTGTTTTTGTTTTTGAGACAGTGTTTCTCTGTGTAGCCCTAGTTATCCTGGAACTTACTTTGTAGAACAGGTTGACCTATCTCTGCCTCTCAAGTGCTGGAATTAAAGGTGTGTGCCACCACATCTGGTAAGAAATCATTTTTAGAAATCAAGTGAATTTTGCTCTGTGATGGTGGCGCACTCCTGCAGAGGCAGGCGGATCTCTGATTTTTAGAGATTCTGTTAGAGGATCTGTCGCAAATTTCAGGCCAGCTTCGTTGGGACCCTACCTCAAAACAAACAAACAAACAAACAAACAAAAACAAAACAGGGAGGCCTGGACAGGCAACTGCAGTGTGACCAGGGAGGCTAGAAATGCTGAGGACATGCTCGTTGACTTTGAAGCCAAGACCTGACAGAGAATGGAGAGCACTGGACGTGTGCTGGAGAAACGGAAAGAACCGCAAGTGCAAAACATGGACGGGGCCGTGGTGTCGCATGCCTTTGATCCCAGCAGAGGCCAGCCTGGTCTATAATAGCTAGTTCCAGGATAGCCAGTGCTGTTACATAGGGAAACTCTGTCTTGAAACCTCCTACCCCCCTCCCAAGAAAAAGAGTCAGAGAAGTCAAAGAAGTAGTTTTGTGTTTTTGCCATTGAATAGTTGAAGTTCTCAATCTGAGTTAGGATAAGAAGTGGTATACATAACTTTTTATGGTTTAAAAAACAGTTTTTATACATTATGTAAAACAATGTGTGGTCAGTAAAAATCAAGCTTAAATTTTTGAATTTTGATCTTTATTGATGACTAGCAACATGATAATCCTGGTAGTTACTGAAGAATGGTAGCAAGCCCCAGCTCCCAGACAGACAGTAAGATCAGGGAAGACAGCTGATAGTTAGCAACATCGTACAATACAAAGTAAGGTAATTAGGTAGGTTAAATGCAATTCTGCCCTGTGATTTTGATTTTTGGTTTTTTTGTTTGTTTGTTTGTTTGTTTTTGGGGTTTTTTTTTTGTTTTCAAGACAGGAATTCTCTATAACAACTCTGATTGTTCTGGAACTTGCTTTGTAGACCAGGCTAGCCTCGAACTCGCTGCTTCTGACTCCCCTGGTATTAAACACCAACAACAACCAGCCAGTTGATTCTTTGTTTGTTTGCTTTTCAAAACAGATGGCATTTAATTTGTATTTTAATAAATAAAGCTTGTCTAAAGATCAGAGAGTGAAACAGCCCCACAGCCTTACAGACCAGGCATTGATAACAGACACCTTCAATCCTAATAGCAACACTAGTTGCCATAGAAACTGGGCAGCGCATGCCTTTATTTCCAGTGGTGCACACCTTTAATCCCAGCCCTAGAGAGGATTATAAAACGGGAAGAGGGTGCTGGAGAGATGGCTCAGAAGTTAAGAGATTTTCCTGCTCTTCCAAAGGTCCTGAGTTCAATTCCCAGCAACCACATGGTGGCTCACAACCATTTCTAATGAGATTTGGTGCCCTCTTCTGGTCTGCAGGGATACATGCAGGCAGACCACCGAATACATAATAAATAAATAAATCTAAAAAATTAAAAATAAAAAATTAGGAGGAGACAGCTCTCAGTATCATTCTGAGATTCCTGAAGGGACAGGATCGTCCCTTGAACTGAGGACTTTTGAGGACTGAGGATACCTTTGCACTGAGGTCAAGGTAAGGTAGCTGCTGGATGCTTTGCTTTTCAGATCTCCAATTGAACCCCAATTTCTTTGAGTTTTTATTAATAGTCTTCAACAGACTTTCTCTGTATAGTCCTGGCTGTCTTAGAACTCGCTCTGATTTGTTTTAAGATGAGGTCTCATTCTGTAACACAGGCTGGCCTGAACCACACTCAGGATGACATCAGTATGTGGTAATCTACATTCCTTGGCCTCTCAAGTGCTGGGATTACAGGCATGTGCTAATATACTACAAAATGTTTTTTTTTCTACTCCCTAAACCCTGAACATGATGTGTTATATAGTTAACATTTATGGGTTGATTAGATGGGCAAGAGATATCAGCATATGAAAATACATAGTACTAGGGAGATGTACTATTTGATTTTATTGGGAAGATGTACTGTATAATTCTCTCTCTCGTCTCTCTCTCTCTTGGTTTCACTGTGTATCTTTGCCTGTCCTGGATCTCATTCTATAGACCAGGCTGACATGGAACTCATAAAGAGCTGCCTGCTCCCGTGTCTGAATGCTGGGGTTAATGGCATGCACCACCACTGCCTAGCCTGTATAATTTTTTTATTGCAGGATTGGAAAGTGTTATGTGACACCTTTTCTTGAGGAGATACAACACACACACACACACATCTGCTCATCCTGGATAGGGAGCCTGTTGACACACCAAAGTTCACCTTAGTGGGGTCACTTAGAGGAAGGAATATGGTGAGGTGTTAGTTGTAGTGGTGATGGCTTGCAAAGCTGGAAACCTGGAGCACAGTGCACAGCCTGCAGCAGCTCAACAGGTTAGGTTGGAAGTGTCCTTTCTGGTGGCTCAATTGGTCTGAGCCTCTTCCAGGCGCTCATCTGATTTTTTTGTTTCTTCCAAGGCCAGGGCAGTGGTTCTCAACCTGTGGGATGTGACCCCTTTGGGGGGGCTAACAGTCCTTTTGCAGGGGTCACTTAAGACTATCAAAAAACACAAGATATTTACATTATGATAATAGTAGCAAAATTACAGTTATGAAGAAGCAGTGAAATAGTTTTATGACTGGGGTCACCACAACATGAGGAACTATATTAAAGGGTCACCGCATTAGGCAGTGCAGTTCTTTTGGTCTCTGCTTCCAGGCAGTTTGACTGGTCTGGATCAGCTCTCTGTAGCCTGTACTGCTTATATACTATGGAGAAAGGTGGAGAAGAGATTTTGGTGATACTAGTGAGGTTATGTAGGAAAAAAAAAGAGATGGTTCAGAGGTTAAGGGCACTGGCTGTTCTTCCCAGAGGACCCAGGTTCAATCCTCAGCACCCACATGGCATCTCAGAACTGTCTGTGACTCTGGTTCCAGGGCATCTGACATCTTCATACATATGCAAATAAAAGTTATAGTTAAATAATTTCTTTAAAGTTTAAAGATTTTTTTTTTACCTAAATCTATGTAGAATTGAGGGTTGATAAAGGGCTCATCTGTATAATGTTATTTGAATATACATTTTTGGGACTGACCATTGGTATTGGATAACCAGTTGGTGTGCTCTTTTCAGGTTAAGACTATTTCTCTGACACCGGGTGGTGGTGGCGCACGTCTTTAATCCCAGCACTTGGGAGGCAGAGGCAGGTGAATCTTCATAAGTTCGAGACCAGCCTGGTCTACATGAGTATAGTGTGGATTTCGTGTCCCTTTTATAATTAAAGGCCTTGGTGACTGCAGTGTATTTGAAGTTATTTTCATTGCTAAAGTTACTGGAGAAATAATATAGATGTTGTAGGACAATAGTAGCATTGGAAGTTAGCTCTTTATCTGTAACTTTAAACATATGTTATATGAATTATTTTTTTGGAGCATGACTAACAAAAGCTCAATAGACAAAAATGGGGTTCAACCTAAAGGTTAGAAGGAAGAGCTAGCTACTGGCTCTTACCTCTACCTTAGTCTGAAATGGTCTTTAGGAATCTCAGAATGAGACTGAGAGCTGTCTCCTCCATTTTATAATCCTTTCTAGGGCTGGGATTAAAGGTGTGTACCACAGAGATTAAAGGCATGCGTCTGGTTTCGACTGCAGCTAGTGTAGCTTTTAGTATTAAAGGTGTATGTTACCACTGCCTGGTCTGTAAGGCTAACCAGTGGGGCTGTTTCACAAATGAAATGCCACTACATTTTTTTATTATTAATATTTCACACCTGCTTTTTGGTTTGCATAAGGAACTTTATTCTGATCATTCTTTGTGTTTTTTCCATAGAATGGATAGAATGACAGAAGATGCTCTTCGCCTGAATCTTTTGAAAAGGAGTTTGGACCCGGCAGATGAGCGAGATGATGTCCTGGCAAAACGCCTCAAAATGGAGGGTCATGAGGCCATGGAACGTCTAAAAATGTTGGCCCTTCTCAAAAGGAAAGATTTGGCAAACCTTGAGGTGCCACATGAGTTACCTACCAAACAAGATGGCGGTGGTGTCAAGGGTTATGAAGAGAAACTCAATGGGAATCTCAGGCCTCATGGAGACAACAGGACTGCTGGAAGGCCAGGCAAAGAAAATATCAATGATGAGCCTGTGGATATGAGTGCTAGACGGAGGTATGGTGCAGTTAGCTGCCTCCAGAAGTAGGGTCTTTTTTAAACAAGCTTGTGAAAATGGTATGAATTCAGTGAAAGGGAGGTGATTTTCATCCTAAAGCTGCCTTTCTTGTTTTTTCTGTTTTGTTGTTTTGCAGCAGGGTCTCACACTATAGCCATGCTGGTCTTGAACTTTTGGCGGTCCTCTTGCCTCAGTATCTCAGTGTTGGGATTACTTATGTGAACTACCACATGATGATGTCTTCTTGAAAGAAGATCTGTGTCCTCTGGCTTAAGTTGACCATGAATTCCTCTCATTTCCAGATGTGAAAACTAGTATAACTACTGTTTTAAAATGGTAGAGAAACAACTGTTTTTTCTTTTTTTTAAGATTTATTTATTATGTATGCAACATTCTGCCTCCATGTATGCCCGCACGCCAGAAGAGGGCACAAGATCTCATTACAGATGGTTGTGAGCCACCATGTGGTTGCTGGGAATTGAACTCAGGACACAGACTCTGGAAAAAATAAAACAAACAAACTGGAATGAATGAAGACTTGACTTAGGCTTTGTCTTTTTTTTTTCTTTTTTTTTTTTTTTTTTGGTTTTTCGAGACAGGGTTTCTTTGTGGTTTTGGAGCCTGTCCTGGAACTAGCTCTTGTAGACCAGGCTGGTCTCGAACTCACAGAGATCCGCCTGCCTCTGCCTCCCGAGTGCTGGGATTAAAGGCGTGCGCCACCACCGCCCGGCGACTTAGGCTTTGTCTTATCTATGCCATCTGTCTAATGTGTATCTGGAATTGTATCTAAACATAAAGTATTGTTTCTAGTGTAAGTTACTGATGTCACACAGTTCCAACATGTTCGTTTAGGAATATTTCTGCCCAGCTTGGTATTAAGCAGTCTCTAAGCAATAGATGGCAATCATTTGTGTAGGAATGATGTTTTACCTTAGAAATAGTCTTAGAGAATATACTTACCTTCCCAGGACTGGAATTTTCATAAAGCTGCTGCTTGGTGACATTAAATACTACTGAATCAAGGAGGGAATTTCCAGACCTCATCATTGCTCACTTATGGCAGTCTTTAGTGTGAAAGGATGAAGGAATGTAGAAGTGACAAGTAAAACATGAACACAAAATTAAATTCAGGCACTTTGTTTAGTTAATTCTGTTTGGTCTAGAGAACTAAATCTCTTTCTCCCTCTAGTGGCATTTTTTTCTGTAATTCCATATTCTCAGCTTGCTGTCTGACTGTGTGCTCCAGTGCAGCTCATACACATTTACTAGTCCACAAAGTAGTCATTTTCCTTACTTCTCTCCTCCTGTTCTTTTTCTCGGCCAAACTTATTAGTAACTCACATTTACCCTGTGAGTTATCTCAATCATCAGGATACCTTGTTCCTTTAGGTGAAGTCTGGAATGGTGGTGCACTATGCTTGTACTATAACTTAGGAAGCAGAAGCATAGGGTGCTCACTGTAAGTTCAGAGTTAGCTTGAGCCATAAAGGCCAGCAAGATGGTTCACTGGGTAAAAGCACCTATAACCAAGGCTGATGACTATAATTTGATTTCTAGAACTCCCACAATGGAAGGAGAAAACTGACGCCACAAAGTTGTCCTTTGACCACATCAGTACCCTGGCACATATGTACACGCATATACAGACACTAAATTAATTAAAATTAAAAACAAAAAAGGCTTCTTGGGGCTAGAAGTATTACTTGATGGCAGATTATTTCTCTAGCACTCACATGGTCGGTCCTAGGTTGGATTTCCAGTAACATACAAATGCTTATATGTCCCCAAGGATATAAAAACCAACAAAGAAACCTTTAGGGTCTTAAAACTAATGATCTATGAGCTTTTAGTTTTTAAGGTCCACATTAAATAAGACCTATAACCACACTAACCTAACCTAGCCCTATATACTCCCAGCTATTTTGTCACAGAAAGCTATAGTTGTTCTCGGTGATAGGTGTGCTTAGGTGTCTGTCAGGCATTGAGTTCTATCCCCAGATCTAACCACAAATAAAAGAGGGGGAAATAACTTCAGCCAGGCACGATGGTACATTGTTGAGATCATAGTACTTGGAAAATATAGGCCAGAATTGGTTTGTTTTGTTTGTTTTATTTTATTTTTTATTTTTTTTTTCGTTTTTTTTTTTTTTTATTATGTATACATATTCTGTCTGCGTGTATGTCTGCAGGCCAGAAGAGGGCACCAGACCTCATTACAGATGGTTGTGAGCCACCATGTGGTTGCTGGGAATTGAACTCAGGACCTTTGGAAGAGCAGGCAATGCTCTTAATCACTGAGCCATCTCTCCAGCCCTGTTTGTTTTATTTTAAGGCAGTGTTTCTCCGTAAAGCTTTAGAGCCTGTTCTGGAACTCGCTCTATAGACCAGGCTGGCCTCAAACTTACAGAGATCTGCCTGCCTCTGCCTACCTAGTGCTAGGATTAAAGGCGTGCGCCACCACCACCTGTCAAGGCAGGGAGATCTTGAAGCCAGTCAGTTACGTGAGATGTCTCACATTTAAAAATTAATGGAGGGCCGGGCGATGGTGGCGCACGCCTTTAATCCCAGCACTCGGGAGGCAGAGGTAGGCGGATCTCTGTGAGTTCGAGACCAGCCTGGTCTACAGAGCTAGTTCCAGGACAGGCTCCAAAGCCACAGAGAAACCCTGTCTCGAAAAACAAAACAAAACAAAAAAAAAAATTAATGGAGGTAGAAGATACATGTGTTGATTAGATTGTTCAAGATCCTTTATATTTGAGCTGCAGAAATATAAAAACAAAGGTTATCTAATGAATAGATTTGGAAGTAAGAGAAGTCTATGTGAAGGATTTTAGATGTCAAAGTACTTCCTGGATAGTTTCTTTTTCAGGGAAGATGCTAGCTAGATACTCTGGCTAATGTGCCTTTGGTTAGTCCTTTTCCAAGAAACTGTGTACTTTATAGTTGATACTATTCATTTTCTCAAGCCATTATCCACACCTTCTTTTGTGTTTTCTTTGACTCAACTCTTGACAGGATACGTTATCACTTATCAGAACCATGTTATTAGAGTGAGCTATTTCCTTTTTGTTCATCAGTAGATGACTAGATTCTAATGGCTTTGCTCTTTCTCCAGTCCTCTAGATAACTAATAACATAATAGTGACAGCTCAATGATGTGATAATAGTTACAATTAAAATATTGAATTAGAGCACTTCAATTTCTAATTTTGTTTTTAAGACAACATTTATTATATAGCCCGACTGGCCTTGAGTTCATTATGTATACTAGACTGACCTTAAGTGCTGGGATTAAAGTGTGAGCCACCACACCGAGCATCTCAATTTTTTTTTTGAATTATTTTTATGTGTGTGGGTGTTTTGCTTGCATGGATGTCTGTGTACTACGTGTATATAGTACATGGTGGCTGGAAGATCCACTCGGACTGGAGTTACAGACAGTTGTGAGCCACCTTGTGGGTGCTGGGAATTGAACCTGGGTCTTCTGGAGGAGCTAACTTCCTAGTCAGCTCTCCCCCTTCCATTCCCTAATTTTTAAAGTTCTCATTACTTCATATATTTGTGTGCCTGCATTGTAGGACTGACAGATTGAGATTAGAAAAGAACTTTGCGAAGCTTTTGCCCTCTCTTACATCTTGGTGTCTTTATTCTAGGAATTGTCTGTCCTGCTCTTGCTGAATCAGGAAAGACTTAAGTTCCTTTGGATTTCTTTGCTGTAGTAAAGAAATATTTTTACCTTTCTTTTTAAAGAACTGTCACTGTTGGAAATACTGTAATCTTTTCCTTTTCTCATCTAGTGAGCCAGACCGAGGAAGGCTAACTCCTTCCCCAGACATAATTGTTTTGTCTGATAATGAGGCTTCCAGTCCCCGGTCCAACTCCCGGATGGAAGAAAGACTCAAAGCAGCCAACTTAGAGATGTTTAAGGTAAAAAAGAAAGGATGTTGGGGTTTTTTTTTTTCTTCCTCCTCGTCCTCCTCTTCTTTTTTTAATTTTTTTCTTTTTTTTTTTCCATGTTCTTTACATTCTCTTTAATTCCCTGGTTTGGTTTTGTATTGTTATTATTTTAATTTGCTTTCTGGATCTAAATAACCACCTACTTGATAAGTTCTTCATACTGATTCTCCACAGTGTGTCCTTTTGAGAGGTAGCTGTTCAACCAAGCAGAAAAAATAGTTTGCTAAAGCATGTCATATCCAATATTATTCATCTTTAAAAAATGAAAGAGAACTTCTTTGTTTAAGTCATAAAATAAACCATTAGGTATGATGATATCCTTTATACTATCGAGTCTCAAAATATAGAGGAATTCTTATTTATTACATCTATATCAAATATGATTTTTAAAGATTTAGAGGCCATTTTAAAAGAAAATATTGTTCCTTTTTTTGTCAGTCATCTGTTTTTCCAAGAATACACTGATTGACAATAATTTATTTATAAGTACTTTTTGAGTACTCCTGAATGCTATTCTGAAGGGCTACAAAGATACAATCATATCTTCACTTCTGCTTCTTATAGAAGTTGAAGGTTTCAGAAGAGAGATCTAGATCATTTCTTACAGAAAGGGTTTCTGGGTACTTTTGCTGACTTACAGTCTCCGTGTTTCCTTAGGGGAAAGGCATTGAGGAACGGCAGCAGCTTATCAAGCAGCTGAGGGATGAACTACGATTGGAAGAGGCTCGTCTGGTGCTGTTAAAGAAACTGAGACAGAGTCAGCTACAGAAAGAGAATGTGGTCCAAAAGGTAGTATTTTGGGGTAAAGAGATAGCTCAGAGGTTAAGAGCACTGACTACTTTTCCAAAGTACTCAGGTTCAATTTCCAGCACCCATATGGCAGCTCACAACTTTCTGTAGTCAGTTCTAGGGGATCTGACACCCTCACATAGACATGCATGCAGAAAGAACACTAATATACATGCAGTAAAAATAAGTAAGTCATGTTTTTAAGAAAAAGTTTTAAAGAAGAGTTTCTAGAAAGGGGGGAAAGTCTAATTTGAGGTAGATTCAACTTTGTGGGCCATTCTTTATGGTTCTGGAGGGTTCTGGTTTGTAGTAACTACAAGTACTTTTGTTTGGTGCTTTTGTTTTGTTTTAACCTTAGACATTAATCAAGAAAGACCTTAAGTGGGCATGGTAGTACACGTCTGTTATGCCAGCACTCGAAAAGTAGAGTTAAAATCAAAAGTTAAATTCATGCTAGGCATGATGGGGTGGGTACTCAGGAGGCAGAGGCAGGTGAACTCTGGGTTCAAGGCCAGTCTAATCTATAGAGTGAATCCCAGGAAGTCTGAGCTATACAGAGAAACACTGTCTTGAAGAAGAAGAAGAAGGGGGAAAAAAAGGTTGAGGGTGCTGGAGAGATGGCTCAGCAATTAAGAGCACTTACTGTACATATATGACCTGAACTCTGCTGGTTCCCAGCACCCACATGGCAGCTTAGAACCAGCTGTTATTGCAGTTTCAAGGAATTTGATACCCTCCTCTGACCTTTTGGCCCTCTAGTACCACCAGGTACACACATGGTACACAGACATAAATGAAGACAAAACAATCATACACAAAAAAATAAAAAATGTTTTTATATAGAGTAGTTGAGATGGCCATATGAGACCCTGTCTGAAGGGGGGGGGGGGAGAACACCTGGCATAGTGACATGCCTTTAATCCTAGCAATTGGGAGCTAGTGGTGAGTAGATCTGTGAATTTGAGGCTAGCCTGGCATACATATTGAGGTCTAGGTCAACCTAGGCTGCATATAACAAGACTGAATCTCAAAACAACAAAAATTAAAAAGCCTTAACTTCATTTTTCTCATTGTTCTTCCTTATCAATAAGTTCTTCATATTAGTTCCTTATACGCACAAGGAAATTTTAGAGCCTAGAACTTTACTGAATTTTAAACTGGTTTCTGGGTTTGTTTGTTTTGTTTGTTTGTTTGTTTTATGGTCTCATTTTCTGTTTCCCTTCTCAGACTCCAGTTGTACAGAATGCAGCATCTATTGTTCAGCCATCTCCTGCACATGTGGGACAGCAAGGCTTATCTAAGCTTCCTTCCCGGCCTGGGGCTCAAGGGATTGAACCTCAGAATTTGAGAACATTACAGGTATGTGACCCATAGTGGGATATTACTATTGGACCAGTCTGTCTCTCCTGTCTTTATTTGGGGGCTTTTCTGAAGATTTTTTTAAAAGATTTATTTATTTATTTTGTTTACAGTGTTCTGTCTGCATGTGTGCCTGCAGGCCAGAAGAGGCCTCTGCCTCTTAAGTGCTGGGATTAAAGGTGTGCCTCACCACCACCCGGCAAATAAATAAATCTTTAAAAAAAAATAATCTTCGGGCTGGAGAGATGGCTCAGAGGTTAAGAGCACTGATTGGTCTTCCAGAGGTCCTGAGTTCAATTCCCAGCACCCACATGGTGGCTCACAACCATCGGTAATGAGATCTGGCGCCCTTTTCTTCCCTGCAGGGATAGATGCAGACAGAATACTTAGAATATTGTACACATTATACATAAATAAATCTTTAAAAAAATTCATCCACATAAAATGAAAATAAGTAAAATTTTATATATACATATATGCATACATACACACACATATATATTAAACTAGAGTAATGGTAGATTTATCCTATTGATTGCTGTACAAAATTATCAGATGTGTGTTCCCATGATTCTACTAGCTATTCATTATAAGCAGTGTTTTCATTTTGCATTTTATAGGTATTATGCTATCTGTGAGTTCTTTTCCTGTTCTTCCCTGTAGGGTCATAGTGTCATCCGTTCAGCAACCAACACTACCCTTCCACACATGTTGATGTCTCAACGTGTTATTGCACCAAATCCAGCCCAGCTTCAGAATCAACGGGGGCCACCGAAGCCTGGCATTGTACGCACCACAACACCTAACATGAATCCTGCCATCAGTTATCAACCAGTAAGAGCGAGCACTGGTATAGAAATAGAAGAAAATCCTTTATTTTTATTTGCTTTTCTTATTCAAAGAGCCACAGGTTTTAAGTTTTGTCTGAATAGAGAGCATTCCCCAAAATGGATACTTTAAGGGATTATATAGAAATGGTGTTAGAAAAAGTAATATGTTGTAGAGCACAGGTAAATTAGCTAAAATGTGCCTTTAGAAAAAGAGAGCTTAAAAAAAAAAAAAAGAAAGAAAGAAAGAAAAAGAGAGCTTAGACCGGGCAGTGTTGGCACACACTTTAACCCCAGCACTCTGAAAGCAGAGGTGGGCAGATCTCTGTGAGTTCGAGGTCAGCCTGGTCTACAGAGTGACTTCCAGGACAGGCTCCAAAGCTACAGAGAAACCCTGTCTCAGAAAGAAAACGAGATCTTAACCTAGAGGTGAGAGTGGGATGGAAATGACATAATACAGTACTCGTGTGTGAGATGCTCAAAAATAAATATATGCATGAAAAAGGAGATGAAGGTATATATGTGATAAAAGCATAGGTACCTGACAGAAAGCACACCCGATCTCTTTTTCAAACAACTTTAGCTTCAAGTGCCATCATTCTGTTTTCTTATGTGCCAGGGTTATCTTTCAGTGATGAGTTGAGTGTTTTCCTATTTTGAAGAAACTAAATCGTCCAGATCAGGATTATATAGACAATCGAGAATTAGTCTTCTCATACTTACCAGCCCCCTGTCCCCTGTTCTGTTTCAGCAGTCAAGTTCCTCTGTTCCCTGTCAGCGCACAACATCTTCTGCCATCTATATGAACCTCGCCTCCCATATCCAACCAGGGACTGTGAACCGAGTGTCCTCACCACTTCCTAGCCCCAGTGCCATGAGCGATGCTGCCAACTCACAGGCTGCAGCCAAACTGGCTCTTCGAAAACAGCTGGAAAAGACATTGCTGGAGATACCACCTCCAAAACCTCCTGCTCCCTTGCTTCACTTCCTGCCTAGTGCAGCCAATAGCGAGTTCATCTACATGGTAGGCTTGGAAGAAGTCGTCCAGAGTGTCATTGACAGCCAAGGTAACACTTCCTTCTAGTTAAGTCTCTAAGCAAGGGGTTGCTAAGCCTCTGGCAGAGAATTTAGTATCATAGGTAACTGTATCATATAATAACTCCCCTTACAACCTGGTGGTGGACCTTCATCTTTAATTCCAACATTGAGAGACAGAGGCTAACCTGATTTACAGAGTGAGTTGTAGTACAGCCAGGGCAACACAGAGACACCGTGTCCCACAAAACAGCAACAACAACAACAAAACTGCTCTTAATCCTGGCCTGATATAATCTCACCACTTTGTAGGGAGAGGCAGGAGAATCACTCCAAATCCAAGGCCAACCTGATCTATACAAACAATAAAGTGACAGCCAGTTTGGGTTACAAACTGAGACCCTGTCTTGAAGTTGTTAAGTTTATTTAGTATTCCTAAGCTGGGTCTAGTGGCACATGCTTTAAGCCCCAACAGTGAGACTGAAGTGGGAGAATACTGAGAGTTTGAGGCTAGCCTGAGCAACATAGCAAACAAAGAAAGTTGGAGGTACATATCGATAACTGTAGTATTCAGGAGACGGAGAGTGGAGGAGTTCAAGTTTGATGCCACACAGAGTTACATAATGAGACCTTGTCTCTAAGTAAATTAAATCTGATCCATTATTACTGCCAGAGTCTCTCCCATCACTTATACGAGCTGTTGGGGTGCAGTATCTCAAAAAAGGAGGCTAAGGAAATGACTCAGTGACTCAGAGCACCGGCTGCTCCTTCTGAGGACCTGGGTTCAGTTCCTAGCATACATATGGTGGCTCACCACCATTCCTAACTCAGATCTTTTGGCATGGCACCAAGCACACTTGGTTAACAGACATACATGCAGGCAAAATCCCATACACATGAAATAAGTCTTAAAAGCCAAAGTAGAGTCTAGAGATATAATTCACTTGGTAAAATACTTGTTTATCCTGGAAGGTAGAGATAAGAAGTCCAGGAACATCCTCAGATACATAATCAATTTTTAGATCTCCCTGTAATACATAGAATCCTATCGCCCGTCCAAAATGGGGGAAGGGTGATGTATGTTTCGTTATTTGTTTTCTTCAGTATAGTGTTTCTTTTTAAAGAGAGTTTGTTTGCTCTGGCTCACATTTTGGGAGTATAATCAATCCATCATAGTAGGTAAATCAAAGGCATCAGGAGCTTGAAGCAATTGGTCACATCACATCCACAGTCAGGAAACAGAATGATGAATACATCTTGTTTAGTTCCCTTTTGTTTTGTTTTGTTGAAACAGTATCTCACTATATATAATCCTGGTTAGTCTGGAACTATATGTAGATCAAACTGGCCTTGAACTCACATGGGATCTACCCTACCTTGACCTCTGGAGGCACATACCACTGTGCCTGCTCTTTAGATGAATAGAGTTTCTATGTTTTGTGACCTCGTGCTGAATTATTATATTCAGTCCCTGTCCTTTTAATGCTTCTGCTGGAAAAACTGTATATATACTAATATAAATAAATAACCAAGCGTCATCACATGAAAATTGCAACCCGGTATTGAACCAGACATTCATACCATGCAGTGTGATGCTATCAGGCATTAATAAGCTTAAATTTCCAAGTAGTATCTGAAAGTCCCTAGGGGACTGACTAACATTAGCTGTGAACAGATCAGAGTGCTTTAATTCAGCCAGGTAAGGTGGCTTATGCCTATAATTATATTTGGAATACTGATGCAAAGAGTGTTGTCATGAGTTCTAGGCCAGTCTGAGCTACAATGTTAAGGTTTGTCTCAAAAAGTCTGCACAAAGTAACTATTTAGACCCTGATAAATGGGTGTTGTAAATATGTATATATGTAAAGGGAAAGTTCAGTATAAAGTGAAGAAACAAAGCAAAAAAAAAAAGAAAAGAAACAGAAAGCAACCAAGCAGTGGTGGTGCACACCTGTAATGGGAGGCAGAGGCAGGCAGATCTCTTGAGTTCAAAGCTAGCCTGGTCTACAGCGGAAATTCTAGAATGGCCAGGAATACAAAGACAAACCCTGTCTCGGGAAAAATAATAAAATAAAAACAAAGCATTGGTTAAGTGGAGCCCTTTGATTCTGAATTTATTATGAGGTTTTTGTAACAGGATTATACAATATAGCCAGGTAGGGTTCAGCCTTATTCTGTAGCCCAGCCTTACCTCAAACTTAAGAGCCTCCTTCACTAGCCTCCCAACTGTTCTGATTACCAAGTCAAAATATTTATTAAATAGCATTTAGAAAAAAGTAAGGCTTGGTGTAGTAGTGCATGCTTTTAATCCCAGCACCAGGGAGGCAGAGGAAGGCAAGTCTTAGGAGTTGAGGCTAGCCTGGTCTACATTCTGAGTTTCAGGACAGCCTGACCCACATAGTGAGCTGCTGTCTCAAAGCAAGACAGTAAATAAGTGTAGGGTTCTTTATTTAATTTTGATGAGTGTTTTTCCTGCAAATATGTATGTTTACCACATGTTTGACTGGTGCCCTCACTTCAGAAGAGTGCATCAGAGTCTCTGAACTGGAGTTACAGGTGGTTTTGAGCCACTGTATGGGTACAGGGAGTGGAACTCCAGTCCTGTAAGGGCAACAAAGTGCTTTTAACTGTTGAACTCCAGTTCCCTGAATTGGTTTGGTTTGTTTGTTTTTGTATAGTTTCTTGTTGTTTTGTTGGTGTTGGTGTGGGGTGGGAGAACAGGATGGAGGGTGCCAACGAACACATTGGGAGGCCACAGACAGCTTTGCGAGATCATTTCTTTCCTTCCACCTTTACATGGGTTTCAAAGATGGAACGTAGTTCCTTTAGGATTGCCCATGAAACACTTTCATGCTCTGAGCCCTCCCACTGACCCTGCTGTATAGTCTCTGAGATAACAGAACTGACTTGTAGGGAAGATAAATGAAGAGAAACAGAAGAGTGGGAGATGTGACTCCATTAATTATTCTTTTTATTGGTATCTAGGCAAAAACTGTGCCTCACTTCTGAGGGTCGAACCCTTTGTATGTGCCCAGTGCCGTACAGATTTCACCCCTCATTGGAAGCAGGAAAAGAATGGGAAGATCCTCTGTGAGCAGTGTATGACTTCAAACCAGAAAAAGGCTCTAAAAGCTGAACACACCAACCGGCTGAAAAATGCTTTTGTTAAAGCTCTACAGCAGGAACAGGTGAGAATTCCGGCTCCTACTCTGATGTGGGAGTGTCATATATCAATCTGTTGATTTCATTGGTTAAGCAATAAAGAAACTGCTTGGCCCTCATAGGTTAAAACATAGGTGGGTGGAGTAACAGAAAAGAATGCTGGGAGGAAGAGGAAGTGAGCTCAGACTCGACAGCTCTGCTCTCTGGAGCAGAGACGCCATGCTCCGCTCTCCTGGGCAGATGCACACGATGAAGCTCCGACCCAGGATGGACGTAGGCTAGAATCTCCCTGGTAAGCCACCTCATGGGCTACACAGATTATAAGAAATGGGCTAGTCCAGGTGCAAGAATTAGCCTAGAAGAGGCTAGATAGAAATGGGCCAAGCAGTGTTTAAATGAATACAGTTTGTGTGTTGTTATTTCGGGGCATAAGCTAGCCAGGCAGCCGGGGTGCTGGGGACGCAGCCCCGCCGCTTATATCACTACACTACTCCACAGTCATCTCAACGGGTTTGGTTTTCCCAGAGGTTGTTGCTTGTAGTTTGGGGGGATTAACCATGTGGTTGCCATAGACCTCTGGGTCTGGAAACCTAGGTTTATTTAAAAAATAAAGCAAAGTGTGGTCTCAAATGTCTTTAATCCCAGCATTCGGGAGGCAGAAACAAGTGGATCTCTGTGAGTTCAAGGCCAGACTAATCTATAGTGCAAGTTCTGGGACAGCCAAGCTATACAAAGAAACCCTATGTGTGTGTGTGTCTGAGGTTAGGGGGAGGATTCAAGAAATAGCAGTAACAAAAAAAAAAAAACAAAAAAAAACAAACAACACCTTTTCTTCTCAAGTATGGTGACACATGCCTTTAGTCCCAGCACTCTGAAAGCTTGAAATTTGACTTTTCCATAGCTCTGAAGAAAGTCTCACTGTTATCTCTGAATAGCCTAGAACTTGTGTTCCTCCCATCTGCCTCTTGAGAGCTGGGATTACTAGCACCCATCACAACATCCAGGCTCTCTATTCTCCACTTGATTTTCTTGTCAAAGAAATGGAATTTGCTGCATACTTTCACGTCCGCCATCTGTGGTTAAATGGCAAACGAAAGGATAGGTAGATGATCAGGTGGTCCGGTGAAGACCAGTCAGTGGTGACAGAAGCGTGTGAGCATTCATAGATAACAGTTATAGGATTAGTTTCTCCAAAGGGCAGGGTGAGTTATGATGCTCAGATCCTTGTATCTGTCCTATTTCCCACTCTGTTAACCATCAGAGTCCCTTAGGTAACGTCATGAGCCTTGTGGAAAATAGGAATCAAAACTAAGATTTCTACTTTAATGGAAGAGCACTTGCTTCCACATCTAAGGCTCTGGTTTCAATCTCCAGCACTGCATGGTAGTTACATGCAGATATGAATGTATGAATGAATCTCTTTAAAAAATTACAGAGATAAATAGGACCTCAATGATTCATTAACTTTAATTACATTACCATCCATTGTCCTCCAGTTATCCTCATGAAAGCCAGTATTCTGGAGAGAAGGGAATGCTTTTAATCAATAAGACATGTTGGCTGCTTGTACCTGGAGATCTCAGTGTAACCATCTCACCATACTTTTTGCCTTTTCCGAATTATTGTAACTAACTGGCGTCATTACAGAAATAAGACCCTTGGTTTTCTAGTTAGAAAATTAGGTGCTGTCTTGTTCAGTCTCATCTAATAACTCCCAACAGGAAATTGAACAGCGATTACAGCAGCAGGCAGCACTCTCCCCTACTACAGCTCCAGCTGTATCCAGTGTCAGTAAACAGGAGACCATCATGAGACATCATACACTTCGGCAGGTGAGGAACTTCTCCCCAACCCTGCTTTCTCTTGGGGGCTGTATTCTGTTCTCTTTTACTCCTGTGCTTTTGTCTTCTACTTGAACTTCTGTAATGGTAAGGTTTCATCAATTGTCCCCTTGTTGCAGGCTCCACAGCCCCAGAGCAGCCTCCAGCGTGGTATTCCCACATCTGCCCGATCCATGCTTTCAAATTTTGCACAGGCACCTCAGTTGTCTGTGCCAGGTGGCCTCCTTGGTATGCCAGGTAAGATGGATTAATTTCAGAACTTACCTCAGAGTTGACTAGTCTCTGCTTTAAGGGTCATGTATAGCTCAGGTTGACTCTGAACTTGCTGTGTAACCAAGGTTGCTACTTGTGTGAACTCCTCTATCACAAGTGCTGAAATACAGGTGTGTACCACTAGCTTTAGTGCATAGTTCTTTCTGTGTACATAGGTGCATGTATAGAGGTTAGAAGTCAGTCCTGAGTGTCATTCCTCAGGCACTGTCTACTTGTTTTTTGAGATATGGTCCTTTACTGGCCTCCAGCTAATGAAGTAGGTTGGCTGGCCAGAAACTTCAGAGATCTGGCTCCCATTGCTAGGATTATGAGCATGCACCACCAAAACCCAGCTTTTTTCTGTGACTGCTGGGGAATCAAGTTCAGGTCCTCATATGTGCATGGCAAGCGCTTTGCTGCCTGAGCTTTCTGTCTAGCGCACAATTCTTTTCTTTCGTTAGTGTATATGAGTATTTTACCTGCGTGTATGTCTGTATACCACTTGCATACCTGGTACCCATAGAGACCATAGTAGGGCGTCTTGATCACCCAGACGTATAGTTAACATACAGTTGTGACCCATCATGTGGGTACTGGGAGTCAAACATTGGTCCTCTGAAAAAGCAACCAGTGCTCTTAAATTGCTGAGCCTTCTCTAGCCCCTATGCACAAATTTTTAGCAGCCCCTTTAGGCCCATTGTTCCTTTGCTTTCTATTTTCTCTTCAGGACATTATAACTATGCTTATTATTCTGCACATGAATTTTTACTAAGTCTTACATGTGCACTAGTACTCTGGTGAAAACAGCAGGGTCCCCAACATTATAAATTGAATTCTGATGTGCTTTTGTTGGGCATGTGAGTTTTTATTTCTGTTGGCTAAAACAGCAGGGTCTGCTGTCTAGTATGAATGATCTAGGATTCTTTTTCACACTCGGTGGTTCCCAAATCAGAGCAGATTGTTTGTTTGTTTTTTTTCCTCTTCCTTTCTTTTTTTTTTTTTAATATTTATTTATTTATTTATTTATTATGTATACAATATATTCCTGCAGGCCAGAAGAGGGAACCAAACCTCATTACATATGGTTGTGAGCCACCATGTGGTTGCTGGGAATTGAACTCAGGACCTTTGAAATAGCAAGCAATGCTCTTAACCGCTGAGCCATCCAGCCCCTCCTCTTCTTTTCAATCATCTTTCTCTTACCGCTGTTTAACCTCGTTCTTCTATTCTGTATTGTAAAGACTGTTCATTATTCCTGGTAGGGCTGACCTTTTTTGGTTTTTCGAGACAGGATTTCTCTGTATAACAGTTCTGGCTGGCTTGGAACTCGCTTTGTAGCCCAGGCTGACCTCGAACTCACAGAGATCCACCAGTCTTCATCCTAAGTGCTGGGACTAAGGTGTGTGCCACCACTGCCCAGTTAGGGCTGACATGTCTGAAGGAGCTCTTTCTCTGAAGCTTGGGAGTAAGAGTGTAGCTGCTGCTGAAACAAAGCTAGCTCAGGCTAGACAAGTGCAGGCAATTGCGTGTTTCCTCGCAATCTCCTCCTGTGCAGTGCCATGTTTTTTCTTAATACCTGTCCTCTTCTTTTGTCTCCCGAATCTAGGTGTCAACATTGCATATTTGAACACTGGCATCGGAGGACATAAAGCCCCCAGTTTGGCAGACCGGCAGCGTGAATACCTTTTAGACATGATCCCTCCCCGGTCTATATCTCAGTCCATCAGTGGACAGAAATAACGCCTGTCCACTTATGCTGCCCATCCTTGAACCCTTTGCCCATTTCTCCTATTGCCCCCCAACTTCCGTCGCATGCAGTGCCTGTACTGGTGCCTACCATACACGGAAAGCAAAACCGAAAAAACAGAAGACAAAAATAGACATCAACAAGAAAACACACGTCCCGCCCTGCCACCTCCCCTTATTTCACACTGCTGCGATCTATCCTCCTGCTGCTCTGTCTTCTCTCTTCGATTTCCTTTACCGGTGAGGTGGATCTTTGCCTCTGATAGAGGTCTGAATGAGGTCCTGGGGAGAATCTAAGTCCTTTGATGTGTGTTTCTAAAGTTTGTTTATGCTATAATTATTATTATCATTTTTAATTATATTGTGTGTCTTCCCTTTGTTCTGTGGACGGTTAACACCCCCATCTTCTGTTTTCTTTCCTTCCCTATCTCCATTCTGCTATTGCTCCCTTTTTAAAAAAAAATACAAATGATATACAGTTCAGTGACCACATGCAGAGTGCAATGGATCCTCGGCTGCCCTGTGGGACATAACTGAGAGTGTTAGGGACACTCAACCTGACTTGTGGAATAGGTATCATCATCGTGCAAGTAGGACTAGCATCCCAGCTGTGGTTGGTCAGGATCTGGACAGTGTGAGAGGCTCTTTAAGAATAAGGAAAAGAGCTTGGAGGGAGAAGCTTAAAACAAAAAACTACCTGTAGGGAGATTGGGGGAAGAGATGTGACATAAATTAATAGTGTCCCAAAGAGGATTGCGACCAGGCCCTGGCCTTTTGTTGCTGGGGGAATAAGATGATCTTCTGACCCCAGTGAGGATACAGAAGTCTGTTCCAGGCCAACCATCCCAAGATTGTTCATTTTATTTTCTTTGTAAAAATTGTCTCCCATCACATCTTCCTACCCTCTTAACAAATATTAATCTTTCTTCTAACTGTAGTCCCAGAGGAGTGGCTGCTTCCAGCTGCTGGTGGCTGGCTGTCCTAGAAGTTGGAATAGGTGTAAGTGAATCACGTGACAGAAGGAGAGGTTTCTCCCAGCAGTCAAGATCCTTGCATTTTTCTATCTCTTTGCCCTCTTGAATGCTGAGAGATATGGCTGTAGCCCCTAATCAGGTTGGTGTCCTGTTCCACCTTTGCTATGCTGACTATAGATCCAACTCCTCAGAGCCAAGCAACTTTTGTCAAACCAGCTTTGGACCTCAGCTATACAAGTATTGTCTTCCCCAAGCTCCTTTCCCCAAAATTTTAATAATTTTGCTGTTTTTGTTTTTTTTTTATTTTTATTTTTTTCTTAGGCGCTACTAATGTAGAGAATGAATTGAATTGTGCAATGTTGCTGTTGTGGGGTTAGGGAGGTTAGCATCCTGTTTGCCCACACTGTGGCAAGGAGGTGGGGACCAAGCTGTTGTGAGGTAAGGGAAGCCTGAAAATGAAGGGTTTCTGTTCTCCTCAGAGTGTGTGTGCACCTGCCTCTACAGCGCTAGATGCCGCCAGAGTGTACTGGGGACGCTCTGAGCAGGTGTATGAGGAGTTGTGTGATATTTTGCCCTTGATAGCCACCTGAGGAAATTCCCTCATTTTTATTTTTAAAAACTAAATAATTTTTTTAAAGTAAGAAGGCACTTTTAAAGTTATTCACACACAAACTGCACACCTTTCCCATAAAATTTGGGGGTAGGGTGGAAAAGGAAGCTGAAATCAAGCTCAGTTCCCCTACTCTGGTCTTTTCACAATACTCCAGTGCCACTGTGGGTGATTATACTGGCCCTACGGGCCTTCCTGGCTTTTCCTTTCCTTCAGATTCATTGAGCACTTAAAGGAGCGGAGACACAACTGTGTCTGGACTCCGCAGTGGGGAAGTGACCTGGAAGCTAGATGCTAGTAACAAGTAGTTTGAGCAGGTCATTTCAAGTATTTTTCTGGGGAATGTGGTGCCCCTGACTGTAAGTGGTGGGGAGGGAGGGGGGCTAATGGAGCTGGGTCTGGGATTATTTTAAAATTATATACATATATATATATAATAAAGATATATTCTTACATCTTTTCTTTGCCCTCTGTGCTTTGAAAGCACTGGATAAATTGACCTTGTTTTTCTCTTCCACAAAATGGGAAGTTTCTTTTTCCTCCACTTTTTAAATGTTTTTCTTAGCAGTCATCTTGCCTTGTGGCATGTCTTCTAACCTCTCCCTACCCCGTGATGAAGTGCCATTTCTGTTAAGTCTCCCTGATCCCCAGCTCAGAGGTGCTCATAGGTACAAGGTGCCCAAGTTTGTCAGTTAAGATGAAAAGGAACAGAGAGTGTGCAATACTGTCCGGCTGGGCCGTCCCTGCCCGAGCTAGGCTCTCCCTGGGAGCCAGGCCACTTTGAGTAGGGTTTGGAAGTAAGATTATAGAAATGGGGAATGGTGGGGAAGGAAAGCCCATATAATACAGTGCCTGTTTAGGTGCTGAGGCCATAGGGGAGAGGGGAGAGTCTTCCCTGTTTTTATCCCTTCAGGGTCAGTTACATAGAAGCTGCTTATTGACTAGTATAGCTCTGCAGCCCTTTGCTCAGTTGCTGAGGTTTGATTTCTCCTCTTTTTCCCCATCTTCATGTCCTTCCCAGGAACTAGTGAGAGGGGTGAGATCTTTCTTAATCATGGTAAAGTGTTAGCCTCCATCTCCTCCCTTAATCCTGCCCCTGTCCCCTTTCTTAAGCCTCTACATTTTACAGCATTGATTGCCTTGTGTCCTTCCAACCCTTTTTTTTAACTCTCACCCTCAGGCTGCGGGCCTTTAGATACTAACCCTCATGCCCAAAGGATAGGAGGAAAGGCCCTGAGTTCAGCTGTCCTTTACCATTGGACTTTGGCTCCCAGGTGTCAGTAGAGTGAGGATCCAACCAGTACACTCTGGCTTCCTCTAGACCCTGAGGCACTAAAAGCTGTCACTCTGCACGGTGTCTTACTCTGTAGAAACCTGGAAAGGGTGGTTTAGTGGCAAGGCTGGGGTAAAATTAGGAGACAGAGGTCCTTATTTGTCAGTTTATTTTGTCACTGACCGTAGCATCTGAACTCCCTCCATCGCTGAATAAGTATTTTTCCTGCATTTTGGGATATATGTATGGTAGACATTTCTTTTTAAAGACACCAAGATAAATGTTTTCCTGCCTTGGTTATCTTTCCTCGCCCCTTTAAAAGGAATTAGCTATAGAACTGCTTTGTAAAGATGCTTCTTGGTATTTTACTTTTGTTCCTTTCCCTAAGCCATTCCCATTCCTCCCTTTTTTCTAGAAGGCATAATCCTTCTCTCCACAGCCCCTTCCCCAACTCATCCTAGGTTCCCTTCCTTTTTATCAAGATCTTCATTAGCTTATGATATTTGCTGCCGAGATGTTATAACAAGGACTCATTCGTGTATATAAGCTATTTCTTGATCCATTTAAAAGGAATTGTACATTGTGTAGGAAAAAAAAACTGAAAAAGAGAAAAAAAAAGCCCTAGCCATGGATATTGTGAAACTGTGTTATGTCATTTTGTAATGTGCCCGTTTGTGTATGATCCGTGCAAAAGGGTTTCTGGGGAAGGGGAGGGTGTAGGGAGACAGGGCTGTGGAGGGTGGAGAGAGGAGTGGGCCGGGCCCAGCACACTGAGACTGGCAGCTGCTCCAACCCCATCCCTCCTTAAAGATGCCACCTCCCCCACCACCCACCCCTAATTTGTGCCTTGCCCTCCCCACCCTGGAGTAATCCCTCCAGGTCACCAGCACTGCCTTGGCAGAGCCCACTCCCTACCCTAACCTGCCCACTCTTCCTACCCCCAGCATTAGGTTGATACTGTGGGGAAGTGCTGGAGGTTGGGAGGTAGCCGAGGAATGGGGCAGTTCCTGGGGGCATTGAAACCAAGTATTATTATGAATTGTAATTGTATTTGCACTGTTTTCCCCCCTCTGATTGCATCAGCATATATACAATATACCTATATAACAAAATCCAGTGTCAAAGCTTTCTTATGCAAGGGATTTCCCCCAACCTTCAGAAAAAGAACCTCATGGACCTCTGAAAGGGTGGATTGTCAAGAGATAGTAGGAAGGAAGGGTTTTAGGCATCCTAAGGAAGTTACCTACACCATTCCAGGTTGTGTGCATTGAGGTGAGGCTTGCTGCTGTGAATTACAGGGCTCTAGGGCCAGGATTGTAGAAAATAAGAATCCAAGACACACGAAGGCACGGTGTGGATGCCTGGAACCTACAGACTTGCTGTGTGATCTTTGGTGGAGCTCAGTGCCTTCAGCCTGTGATGTGAGGGAGGAAACCACTGGCCTCCACACTTAAGATCCCACAGTTCTTTTCCCACCTGCCCAAAACCAAAAAGCGCCTGAGGTGAGGGAAGTACTGGACTGCAAGACAAAGGAGGAACTGAAAGGAACTTGTTGGTCTGCTGTTGGCAATGTCTTTGGAAAGTTGCCAGTCCCTGCTTCAGTATTGATGTAGGGAGAGGTGGCAGTATGTGTAGGCTATTAAACCAGTGACATCTTGGTCCTTGTGTTCTATCCGTGTCATGACAGGGACCAGGCTCCAAGCCTCACCTTGTACTCAGAATCCTTAAGAATGGTTAACCAGTGAATGCCCACCAGGTTGGTAGCCAAGTTGCTGTCTTTGTGAGCTATAGGTGTGGAATTTACCTCATCTTGGTGACAAGGAGAGCTCAGATGTGGCCCACATCTTTCCTTCCCTCAGATCTCATCTGAGCCCCTACAGGCAACTGTTGACAGTCCGTCTCCTTCAGAGGCCCAGTTTATTCCTCATTTCCTGGGCTGAGTGTTTCTACTCTCTTAAGTTATTGACTCTGACGCCTGGAGAGAGCATAGGTTGATGGGTGAGGCCTTGGTGAAGGTGGAGGATAGATTGGGGTGGGTGGCGGGGAGCAGGGAGGTGGGGTGGGCAATGGCCTTCCCTGAATAGGGGTGGGTGGGAGGGGAACAAGACCCTTTTGCACAACTCTCTTTAAGTTTCCTTTTTTTCTTTCTTTTTTAAAAATAACTCATTCTAATTTTCTGCATTGTGTTTGGGAAATAAAATGGAAAAACTAAGACCAATAGGAACTGGTTTTCAAAAGGTAAATACACTCCCATCTGTTTCAGAGACTGCTGAGAATTTCAGCAGTGAAGATTCAAATAATAAGCTAATTTTTGGAGAAAGGATAAAAAGAAAAAACTTTGTAATATTTATCACTTGCAAGCTATGTTTAATAAAGAAAGGAATGGTTTCTAAGCTTTTCTGTTGCTTGTGCTTTAGTGGTGGCCGTGGTGGGAGAGGGAGTGGTTTGGTGAGAGAATCTGAGGAGTATTGATGGATGAGCTATGGCTATGCTCTACAGTCCCACCATGATACCTTTGGCGACTATTCCCTTGCCTGCCTGCCTGCCCCCCCCCCCCCCCTCTCTCGTAGAACTATTGAAATCCTTACCTACCTCTGCTGCTGTTCCTCTCCTTTAGGACCCTTCTTCAACTCTCTGATGACATCTCAGGGAATCAGACTTTCCCTGCCTGCCCCACCCTGACACACTTATAGTCTAGTAGAGTATAATTATTGGTAGCTGGTTTCTCTAGACAGTGATATCAGCATCAGAGATTCACACCAAAGCTTAACATTCAGAATGCGTCACCCCCAAAAAGGCCTAGAATTGGTCTCTCAACACAAAGCATCAGTCATTCTGTGTTTTTATTATTTAATTGTATTTGGTGTAAGGGTACCAGATCCCCTAGAACTGGAGTTAGACAGTTGTGAGGTGCTTTGTGAGTGCTAGGAGTCAAATCCAGGTCCTCTGGAAGAGCACCCAGTGCTCTTAACACTGAGCCGTCTCTCCAGCTCTGCGTTTTATTTCTAACAAACTTTTTAGATGACTCCCAGCTAAAGAATACTTGAAAGTCAGGACTCTGTCTAGCTCCTTAATGCTCTGCCACACTTTATACCCTTTATGTAGAGGAGCCTCACTGGAAGCTTGTTACCAATCCTGGTGTCGACGCTACCCGAGCACAGAAGAGACAGTATTTGTGGGAACATAACCCATGGGCTTTTCTTCCTCCAAGACCATTTTGGTTTACACTGTGGGACAAAGGGAAAGGTTGGCTGAGGTAGTGGAAGGGTTTGATCTTTACAAAGGATGACAAAGGTGATGAGTGGCCATTTGCTGCTCGTTAACAGGCTGGGAAAGGGAGGCATCACAGTTTTGAGGTGTTGCTTATTTTAACAGGAGATTCTCAGACTGAAACTGTCAATCAGACTAATCCCTTTAGAAGTAGAAATCAATCTGTCTTGCCTGGTGATGCACACTTTTAATCCAGAAGTTGGGAGGCAGAAGTAGGTGGCAGATCTCTCTGCATTCAAGGACAGCCAGGGCTGTTGTCACACATAGAAACATGGCATGAAAACAAGGAATAGAAATCAAGGGGTTGTAGAGATGGATTGAGATTAAGATCACTTGATCTTACTGTAGAGGACTTGGGTTCAATTCCTAGCATCCATGTGGACTTGCCAAGAGTGCCAGCATACACACAGCACACATGTACATCAGGCAAAACATGCATTCACATAAAAAAATTTTTTTGAGGGGCTGGAGAGATGGCTCAGTGGTTAAGAGCATTGCCTGCTCTTCCAAAGGTCCTGAGTTCAATTCCCGGCAACCACATGGTGGCTCACAACCATCTGTAAAGAGGTCTGGTGCCCTCTTCTGGCCTGCAGACATACACACAGACAGAATATTGTATACATAATAAATAAATAAATATTAAAAAAAAAATTCTTAAATATTTAAAAAAAAATTTTTTTTGAGACACTGTGTAACCCTGGCTGTCCTGGAACTCATCCTATATAGACCAGGCTAACCTTGAACTCTGAGATCTGCCTGTCTCTACCTTCCTAATGCTGGGATTATGCGCATATGCTACCTACCACTGCTCAGCCAAATCTTTAAAAATACAAACTCCCGGGTGTTGGTGGCACATGCAGAACTGGCAGATTTCCGAGTTCAAGGCAGCCTGGTGTACAGAGTGAACTCCAGAACAGCCAGTGCTACCCAGAGAAACCCTGTCTTGGAGGGGAAAAAAAACTGAAACAGACATTGGGGCTGAGAAGATGGCTCCTCGGTAGTTAGGACCTGGGTTCAATTCCTAGCACCTGTGTGGTAGCCTGTAACTCCAGGAGGGATCTGATTCCCTCAGTTTGACTTCCACAGACACCAAGCACATGTCCTTCACAGACATGCAGTCAAAGCACCTATATACATTAAAAACTTAAAAAAAAAAAAAAAAAAAGCCAGGCAGTGGTGGTGCACGCCTTTATTCCCAGCTCTCGTTTTATTTCTAACAAACTTTTTAGATGACTCCCAGCTATTTTTAAAGATTTGGCTGAGCAGTGGTAGGTAGCATGTGCGCATAATCCCAGCATTAGGAAGGTAGAGACAGGCAGATCTCAGAGTTCAAGGTTAGCCTGGTCTATATAGGATGAGTTCCAGGACAGCCAGGGTTACACAAAGTGTCTCAAAAAAAATTTTTTATGTGAGTTTGAGGCCTGTCTGGTCTTCATAAAAAAACCCTGTCTTGAAAAACAAAAGAATAAAGCAATACCAGGCACTCGGGCACTGCAGTACATACATGTAGCTCAGCCTAAAAGTTCAAATCCAACCTAGACAATTTATGTAACAAGGTACTTTTCAAATAGGTAAGTAATAAGCAATGTTAGCAATTCACTCAGGTCTGTGGAGAAAGATCACTGCTTGCCAAAAACGAGCCCTTGGCTGCTGAGGGCAGAGAAGCCTTGGCATCTTAATTACCATTCCTATTGCTCTGATGAAATACCTGACCAAAAGCAAGTTGGAAGGAAGACGTTTATTTGCCTTATACTTCCACATCATAGCCCATCACTGAAGGAGGCCTGGAAGCAGGAATTGATGCAGGGGCCACAGAGGGTGCTGCTTACTGGCTTGTTCTCCATGACTTAGTCTGCTTTCTTAGAGAACCCAGGACCATCCGCCCCACACTCACTAACTAGACAACGTCTGCCTATAGCCTAGACTTATGGAGGCATTTTCTCACCTGAAGATCCCTCCTCTCAGTTCAAATAGCTTGTGTTATGTTGACATAAAACCCACCAGCTCAGCGGCCCAGCAAGGGCAATGGCTCTCAGACAGCCGGCACAGAGGTGACACTGCACACTTTGGAGAAGCCCAGGGTAACAGGATTGCAGAGAAAAACAAAACAGATGGCAGCCCTAGCCCACCTGAAGTCAGGGACTCGACGGCACTAAGGCAACCGTCACACTGCTACCAGTGCTGGAAACCAGGATGGGGTCAGAGCCTGGGTGGCCGCTCTGGTGCAGTGGGCCTTGCATGGGGTGTAGGCTGTGGCTGCCTCCAGAGACCAACTTGGCATCTCAGGATCCCCTCTCCCCAGCCACATGACCCCAGCTCCATAAGGAAACTTAGACCCCTCTTGATACCTGGCTGGCCCATCCAGGTCTCCAAGAAATGCAGAGGAGGCTACTGGAGCAGTCTGCCAGACTGGAGAGCAGCAAGGAAGCCTGAGAGCGTGGCAGAGACAGTCTTCTGGAGTATGGTCCCAGAAACCTGTCAAGAGTCTAGAAGGGGTTGACTCAGGTCGCTAGGGCCCAAGACTGACTTTGCCAGTACAGCCAAGTACCCACACCCTGTGCCCAAGTTGGGTGTGAGTAAAGGCCTGTCTCACCCGCACATTCACACCCAGCTTGCACTGGCCATGTCCACCAGAGGGATAGCTCTTAGGACACTGGCAGAAATGAACAAAGCCATATCTGCAGATCCCTGGGAGTTGGGCATGGCTCTGGGTTCCCTATCATAGCCTTCTGGGCACTGGCTTGTTTGGAACCCATGCTGTTTTCCGCCTTGAATTGGTAAATAGCCTCATCTTCAACAGAGATTTGGTGTGTAAAGAAAAATGAACAGCCAAAACTCACAGGCTAAAAGAGGGGTCCTGAAGATGCAGCTGAGACCTGCTCAGACAAAGAGGGGCAATCACTTGTATGGTACAGCAGGCAGGGGGCAGAGCCATGGGTGGATAGAGGTGCTTGGTGGAAAGAGAAGGCTCTGTGTGTGTGAGTGTGTGAGTGTGTGTGGTGGATTATTTGTACACTGTGTGAAGGTGGGGAGAGAGAAAAGTAGGAGGAGGAATCTAAGTGGATGAGAGATGGGAGGAGACATGGAAGAAGCAGGTTAGGGAGTACCTGAAAGAATGTAGATTAATAGAAATGGGTTAGTTTACCTGGGCTGTGGTGCTGCACACCTTTAATCCCAGTACTCGGGAGGCAGAGGCAGGCGGATCTCTTGTGAGTTTGAGGCCAGCCTGGTCTACAAGAGCTAGTTTCCAGGATAGACTCCAAAGCTACAGAGAAACTCTGTCTCAAAAAAAAAAAAAAAGAAAGAAAGAAAAAGAAAGAAAGAAAGAAAGAAAAGAAAAGGAAAGAAAAAAAAGAAAAGAAAGAAGTGGGTTAATTTAAGTTATAAGAGCTTCTTTAATCCCAGCACTCGGGAGGCAGAGGCAGTCGGATCTCTGAGAGTTCGAGGCCAGCCTAATCTACAAGAGCTAGGTCCAGGACAGGCACCAAAGCTACAGAGAAACCCTGTCTCGAAAAACCAAAAAAAAAAAAAAAAGTTATAAGAGCTTAATGTGGGATTCCCCTCTGTTTGCTGTGATTACCATTTGAATATTTATTTATTTATTTATTATAGACACACTATTCTGTTTGCATATATGTCTGTAGGTCAGAAGAGGACACCAGACCTCATTATAGATGGTTGTGAGCCACCATGTGGTTGCTGGGAATCAAACTCGGGTCCTTTGGAAGAGCACACAATGCTCTTAACCACTGAGCC